AAAAAATCTAGTTTTCTGTGTTTTATAGGGTTCTGATCTTTATACAGTCTGTTTAAACACTTCTCTGTTTGTCACTCTCTCAGTCCATGCAATTTATAACATCCTGCGATAAACCCACCTTTCCACTGCATTTAACTTTTTAGGCTAGTCTGTGTTAAAGCTCCTGAGATGTAAATGCACCGCTTGCGTATAGACTGACAGGACACGCTGTTCATCAATATGAGACCTGGCCAGGGCGATGCGCAATGAATCTGGAAGAAGTTTCCAGCTGTTTTCAGCACCTTGGGTGATGGACAGCAGCCTCTCCCAGGCAAAGCATTTTAGTGCCCCTTCCCCTACCCAGTTTGGTGTGTCAGGCTATCCCCACCATCATCCCCAGGTGGCATGCTGGCTGGGGATGATAGGTCTGTAGTCCAAGGTATCTGGAAGAAGCCAGACTGGGGAAACCCATTTTGGCTGTGGGTGACGTAGTGCAAGACATCCAGAGGAATAAAGACTGTGGAAGTTAATACAGAGTGAGGATGATGGGTTTATAGTGCAACCTATCTGGAGGACAGCAGGCTGGGGAAGGTTGCTTTAGCAACAGCTTTGGAGCCAAATTACAGGGGAAATGCTGCTTCATTTTATCACTCTACCAAGCATGTATCTGCCTTTGGAAAGCCTCCTAACCTAAAGAATGGGGTCAGGCAAACGTGAGGCTTATACTTTATCTTTGCCCTAGAATCCAAAGATCAACCGACAGGTGCCTGATGCAAAGGACAGACACTCTCATCAAAGAATTTGGGTCCTGGAAATTTATTCTGAGAACTGAACAGGATTCACAGCTCTTGGGTGGCTGCTCTGAACTATTTTCAGTCCAGGATGCAGTGACTGCCGTAGGATGCACAGAGTCCGTCCATTGCTTCCCTTCTGCTCTGCATGCAGACCAGGTCTAACCCTTGGTGCCTGCCAGTAGGAGAAAGTCCTACCTGGAACTTCAGAAATCTGCTGCTGCAGAGTACTGGGTCAAATGGACCAGTGATCTGGCGTGTTGTAAGGAACAGTATACATTTTTATCTGGGAGTCAGAAATCCTTGCCAATCTGTTGCGATTCACTCCGAGAAATACCTAGAGGTTCAGAGCTATTTCCTCCCCACCCTTTCTGTGGTGGAGTTTGCACCAATTCTGAGTTATCCATGCCTTTTGCTCTAAAGCTTCCCTTTTTGGACATTGGCAACCTGTGTTACATCGTTCTAGTGCTCTATGCTGGCCGTAGTGGAGTCCTTTCCTATGGACACCAAAGACCTGCTGAAGACACAATGTTTTCAAAGCACTGCAGCTATTCCTCCTGGGTCCCTCTGCTCTAGTTCCAGTCTGAACTGGGATCACACAGCTGCTGTTAGTTGAAGCAACCATGGCCGAGGGCGGGTGAATTTCCCAAGCATTCTATGTAAGCATACATTTAATGCCATCATCTAATTTCATCTGTGGTCAGTGCCATTAGTTCATTATGCCCCAGTTGTTTAGTCCGCAGAATAGATTGTACTTGTAAGGATTCCTATGATGATCAAAAATCAGAAGCTGCTGAAAACAATAGGAGCAATCCCTGACTCCTAAGGGAACTCAAGGTCAATGAGTTAATCAAAGCACAATGCTTTGAAGTTCAAAAGACTCTTTTACAAGCAGTACTGATATAGAAAGTTTAAGACACAGAGGTATCTTAGTTCATCATTACCTAATTCAAGTGTGTGTGTATGAAGGGGTGTCTTTAGATTTTAATGAGATAAGGAAAGCTGAAGTAGGCAATGTATTGTATTGTATTGTGTTGTGTTGCTGGTTGCATTCAGATCAAAGGGAATACCTAAGTAGAATTGAAATGCAGGCAACTAGAAACCTAGATTTGGCCAGATTTAGGAAGATAAATTGAGGGAAATAAACTTGTGTCAGATAGTCCTAGCAGATAATGGGCTAGTGAAAGGATGTCTGAAATAATCTTTAGAAGATTAATTCATGCTACTAGCATACTCCTACAACTTAGAAACTTATCTTCCAATTCGAATATTTAACAAACATGTTTTTAGAATTCACAGTGCAATGTCACCAAAACGACATAAAATGAGTTCAGTTTATAAGAAGCACATGTAATTTTGCAGTTCTACTACACTGCAGTGTCACACTGTCGTTGTGTACAGGAGCACAGGGAAAGGCAGAAAAAGACACACACACCCCCAATCAAAAGCATGTAAAGGGGTTGATCATAATTGCACACAGAATCTGCAGCAGTAGCCTCCAGGTGGTGGTCCATTCCACCATGCTCTTCCATCCAAAAAGACCTTCTGCATAGAAAACATAGTTGGCTCTTCTATTTGGAAAACTACCAAGTCAGGAGAACTCAAAAATTAAGAAGCTGCTCCTTTGCATCTATGTGCAGCAGAGAATTCTGCTGCTTCTGGTGAGCTAATTGCGGAGACTTCCACATGGCAGACATCCACCTGTCATCTAACATGGCAGAGTTCAAACACTGGTTTACCACTTCTAGGAGAATCTGGCTTATGGATGCTACTGCAAAGTCCCCCATCAAAGTTCACCTCCTCCATGGCCCTCCACTGCAAGCATGAGGCAACAGAGCTTTCCGGAGTTGTTCCTGCATAAGCCTCATAGGGTTTATTCCCATATGTGTGCATAGGATCGCAGCCTAATTCTTTCTGAACATCTAAAAAGCATGGAATAACTGTTGAAGGATTGTTTTCTTCATCATTGCCCTGTGCTTCTGGGTCAGAGTTTCCCTTTCTAAGTAAAGGAGTCCACTGTGTTTATGGAGGAACATTCAATAGAGCTGAGGACATACTGATCACTCCACTGGGTATTGGGATATATCCGAGGATGAACATTTGTGCAGGAGAAACAGAGGTAGTTGCATGGAAACAGCTACTTCTGCAGCTTTAGGGTCTCAGATACTTCTGTCCTGGGACCTGCATTACAATAACTGGCAGGGTTCAGGAGAGAATGCAATAAAGATTTACAAAAATGTTTAGAGATCCAAAGGTCTTGGGGGATGGCGAAAGTAAGAATTCTTCTCATTCAATTCTGAAGACCCTTTATTCCAGTAGGAAAATTAGAAATCTGGGAGAACACCAGGAGAAAAAAAAATTCTCTTATGAAATATTTTCTCTTTTGAAACAAGTGGCATGTTTTTAAGACAAGATTTTACTTTCTTAAAATGTTTATGATAATATTTATGTAAGATAGAAACAGAGAAACAGAGCGAGTCAGAGTGGGCCTCCCAGACCATCAAGTCTGACCCCAGCCTCCAGTGGCTCTGCTCACGACATGCCCACCATGTGCATGTCTAGCCTATCTTTGAACACCCTCACCGATGTGGCCTCAACCACCTCCCGTGGAAGCCCATTCCACACCCTCGGGGTCCTAACTGTCAGGAAGTGCTTCCTGGCATCCAAATGTAACCTTGGCTCCCTGAGCTTTGCTCTGTTGGAGCGCGTCCTGCCTTCCTCTGCAGGGGAGAACAGGTCTCTACCCATCTCCATGTGACATCCCCTCACATACCTGTATGTCGCCAACAGATCCCCTCTGAGTCTCCTCTTCTCCAGGCTGAAGAGACCCAATTCCCTCAGTCTCGCCTCAGACCCCATCCCCTGCAAACCGGCCACCAACCTTGTGGTCCTACGCTGCACTGACTCCAACCTGGCTATATCCTTTCTGTAATCAGGGGCCCAAAACTGAGCACAGTACTCCAGCTGCGGGCGCACCAGAGTCATATAGAGTGGTAGTAATACCTCTCTTGATTTAGAAGCCATGCTTCTGGCTATGCAACCAAGGGTGGCGTTCGCCCTCTTGGCCACCGCATCACACTGCTGACTTATGTTTAGCCTGCAGTCAACCAGCACCCCGAGGTCCCTTTCACAAGTGCTGCTCTCCAGCCACTTGTCCCCTAACCTGAACTTATGACACCCATTCCTGTGCCCTTTTGGATCTGGAGTACCTGCTCCTCAGTTATGGCCACTGCTTCAGTTTTAGTATTGTAAAACAATAGATGCAACAATAGATGACAATTCCTGCATACACAGTATTTATTTTATTAGATTTATATCCCACCTTTAAAAAAAGAACTAAGCATGGCTTACAGCATTCTCCTCCTCCCACTCTCAACCTTATACATAGTAGATGTGTACCACACATTTATATTTTCAGTTTTATTGTACAGATTAACTCAATATTCAAATATACTGGTAGCCCTTAATATTGTGGCTGCCTGAGTACTTTTTTCCAAATAATTATCTTGTGCTTATGTACCAAGAAAAATAAGGGGGGGTGGGTGGAGTTGTGGTTTCTATTTTCAATTTTTCTGATTCTGGTTCCCATCAGCCTAGCCAGGATGGCCAGTGGTCAGTGATGATGTGGGTTGTAGTTCGTTTGCATAGCTTCCAGCCCCTGCATTTGTCACAACACTTACAACAATCCTGCAAGGTAGGTCAGCATTATTACTCATATTTCAGAGAGTAAGCCGCTTTGATTGCAATCCCTACCCAATTAACTCTGAGTAAGTCCCATTAAAATTACCGGGGTAACTCCTGAGCAGACTGCTATGGGATTGCATTGAGAGCTTCTGCAGGGATACGATTCAAAACGGAGGCTTTGAGATTGCTAAATCAGTCTGCAATCCACAGATAAATTACAAGGGAATAAGTCTCACTGAACTCAGAGGGGCTTGGTACTAGCCAGGCAAGGGCGAATCGGATTTCAGCTCCCTTTGGTGTGGATCCCTAATAGAAGTGGATCCCTCCCGCTCCACTTCTACAGCAATTCTCCAGAGCAGCTCCACTCCATCCTTTCTCAAGCCTCGTTCCAACCCCTCCAAACCCCAACTTTGGGACCACCTCTTTTGCATTGCTGCTTTAAGGAAAGAAAACTCAGGAGTTGCCCTTTTAAGGAAGGGGGTGGGAACAGAACGTAACAGTTCTCGCGAGACTTCAAGCAGCTAGTCCCGCGAGAATTGGGTTCCAACGGAAGATGGCGGCGGCGGGAGGTACGATAGCTGCAGTCCCCGAAGAGGGAGCAGAAGGGGAGGCTACTCCACCGGCAGCTCCGGAAGCGATGGCCGGGGAAATCCCTGGGTCAACCGAGCAGGGGACCGGAGATTCAGAGACCGGGTGAGGCCTAGCGATTCGGGCGACACAGTGGATTCGGCATCTTCATTCCTATTGGCTCGGGTGCCTTGTCTCCCTCCGATTGCTCTTATTGGTCGGAACTCTCAGGCTCGTCTCTCATTGGCGATCTGTCCTCTGAACTCTGCCCGCCTCCTCTCTTCCCCGCCCTGCCGCTTTGCAGTAATTCTTCTAGTGCCAATTCTAGCTCAGCCTTCGTCGTGCAGTTCCTCCCAAAGGTGTTGCGCTGGACTGCTCTTCCCGTATTCCCCAGCCCTGATTGGCAGGGCTGGCCGGGAATGATAGGAATTGCAGTTGCTAGCACAGAGCTAGGTGGGCTTGGCATTGGACCGCTTCTGATATTCCCACCTGAGCCACACTACTAGATGAGCTTTAGGGTAGCTTTCCTTAGTCAGGAGGTGAAGCACTAATCCAGCCTTGCCCAGTATGGTCTTCTCCAGATGTTATGGACTGCAACAGCTGCAGGGAAGCAAGTTGGGGGAAGCTGCACTTATTCAGAGTAAGCCTGTGGCAAGAAGCAAGAGAATCCCATCACAGTGTTGTCTGTGGAATAGTGTCTGACTTGTTAAATACACAGACAAGCTTGGTGGTAGGTGGAAAAACTTTCTGCTTTAGGGCAATAACAGTAACCTTTGTAAACAAGGTTGTTCATGAGGTGTTGGTGCAGGTGTGCTTCTTCATGTTTATTATTCTTACCGCACTCCATTTCCATCCCACCTTTCTTGCAAGGAACATAAGGCAACTTAAAAAGCTCTCTCCATTTTATTCTCATAGGAATAATCCTGTGAGTTAGGTTAGGCTGAGTGATTGGCTCAAATCACCAAATCTGTGATTGGCCCAAAACTATCCAGTGAGAATCATGGTAGAGTGAACATTCGAACCCAAATCTCCCACATCCCAGTCCAACACTCTATCACTATGGTATTTACAGTTAAAAGGATTAATGAGGATGACACTTGGCCTGGGAGCTGCACAGCTCGTGAGTTACATGACTGCATGGACAAATAGTTTAGCCTCGTGTAAAATTGCTTCCTTATTCTTATGATGAGAAAAGGTAATTAGCTTTGAATCAGAAGGCCTTGTCTCCTGATTTGTTAAAGATATTATTTGTCTATTTATTTTAAATCCTTGAACCCAGCTCCTAAGCAACAATCTTTGGGATTGCTTCCATAAAGCATTCAGCGATGCAGTTTAAAAGTGTGCCAACTATTGAGCAGTAGTTTCAGCTTAAATAAAAACAATCCCAAACAATATCAGATGCCGGAATGAATACTTTTTCTTCCCTTTTTTCACTTTTTGGTATTTCCTTACGAACTGTAGTACATAATAAGCACTGCACATATTTAATTATGGCTTTCTGCTCCTCAGGGGGGATACTTCCCTGGCTGATGTCACTGCCACCCTGGAAACAGAGTCATCCAGTGGAAAGGATGCATTGGTATGTGAACCAAATCTGCCCTCTGGGGAGATAGCGATGGCATTTGGACTACCTCTGTATCCTATGAATGGACTGTTTGAACTGCTTGGGAACTGGGAGGCAATCTTTTACGGGTTTGTCATTACTTGTCACCTCCTACTCTGTGCATCAGATGAACTATTCCCTGTGGTGGAATTTCCTTGAGCCACTAACTTCTGTTGTAATGTGGGCCATACTGGTTATCTAAAATCATTAGTTGGGGGTCTATTTCTGTTACTTTGGGTGACAGTGCTTCAAGCTAAAACTTGGCCGCTTGTCCTTGGAGGACTGAAGTGCTATATCAGCAAATGGAAAATTTCAGTATTTTAGTGCTTATGGGCTGAAGCGATACCTGTAATCTTGTCCTGTTCTGATCTAGGAAGTTCTTTCATTGTACCATGCTTAAGTAATGTTTTGATAGAAAGAATTCCTGAGCCTAGGTAGGGCAGACAGACTTTGCCTATAGACTTGTCTGCTGTTACTGGCCCATAGAATTTGAAGGACTTTCTGCAGTGAGAAGTCCCACATTTGTGCAGTTAGGGAAAGAACTGCTTACTATCAGTATGATAAATGAGGCTTATTGTCCAGAAACATTGGTTGCAAATTATACGATTTGCACTCCAACTCATCTGGAAAGCATAATGTTGAAGGGGTCTGAACTTGAGTGTTGGACTAGCATTGGAGAGATCCTAGCCAAGAGGTTCACTTCTCAGTTTAACTTATTTGATAGAGCTTTTGTGAGGATAAAATGAGGGTGGAGAAAGGAAGAGAACTATTTTAAGTTCCCTAGAAGACAGGGTGGAATAGAAGCATAACAGATTTGTTCTTCCTTAGCTATGGCTTTCTTTTAGTGCAGCTGTGCTGATGTTGTTTCAGGAGGGTGTTGGGGACAGTTCGGAAGTCCTGGATAATCAGACTGGCTCAGTCGATGAAGAGAATGGACGACAGCTGGGGGAAATTGAGCTGCAGTGTGGCATCTGCACCAAGTGGTTCACAGCAGAGACTTTTGGTATTGATACCACGTATGTAGCAGTTATCCCTTATTTTTATTTTTAGAACCCCTGCATCTAATTGAGATTTTTCGATAGTCTTTTTAAACAATCAACTTAAATAGCACTGTAAAATTCTGTCAACATTCCTTTTGAAAAACTTCAGTTCTGTAATTCCCGGAAAGGGCAGTATGAGTTCAGCTAATGGTATGGTTTAAAGAGCTGACCTTGAAAATATAAGTACCACTGAAATCACAGCTTTGTTTGCAAAAATGCTTACATCTAAAGAAGGAAGAATCTATTAAGACCCTTCAGAAATACTATTTTTCAATTTCTCTTTTTGGCACATCACCTACATAAATAAGATCCAGCATAAAACTAATCAATAACATACACATAATTATAGATTATTATTCCAGGCATTAAATATTAGACTAAACTCTTAATTCTTTTATTTTTGTTTATTTAATTTCTATACCACCCAACAGCTGAAGCTCTGTTTGGTTTTACATGCCATATTTTTTATATTATTTGGCAGAAAATCCTCAGAACTGGGATCAAATATTTATGTTCCAGGCTTGAACCAGAATTCTTCTCATCCTAAGCATGGTTCTTGTTAAATCAGAAGACGGTGTGAGGAAGTACTTTCTTAACAAATCAGTTATGTAGCTCAAATTAAGATAACCTTGAGCAAAACCCTGGGTTCCATCTTGGTTAGCCTTTGATTCATGTAGCAACCAACACCAATAATATTTTGTAGGATAAATTAGGCCCTGCATTGTTTTGCACTCTGTTTATGTAGCTCTGAGTACCCACTGACCTTTGTAAATAATAATAAAACTAGTAGAATCCAGAACAGCATTGTAGGTTTGCAATCCATAAGCCCCTTTTGTTGAATAAACTCAGCAATTTCAAACAGACTATTTCAGGATATACAGTTTGGGGATTGCAGGCAAGCATGTTTATATTTTTCCTTGCATTTCCATGAAAGTCAGGCTTCTGTTTGCTTGCTGATAATTTCCTTGAAGTGTTGGACAGCCTTGGCTTAAGCTGACTGGGCACATGCTATTTTGCTGATCAAATGGTGCCAAAGAGATGGATCTAAAATGGTCAGGATGCTGGGCTGCATTGTAAATGTCATGGTGTTAGCAGACCTTGTGATGCAGGGCACTTGTGAGACTGAATTTTTTTTGAAACAGTGTAATGATGGAGCTTAATGAACTAATTTCAAAGTTGAGTTCGCAAGCCAGTTTTCAGCCCCCTTGGACCAAAAGAGAGGGACTGATCCCCCAATTTTGTCTTCTACCTCTTCCCTGGTTTTAAACCAATCTAGCTCAGCTTCGTACTCAAACAATCCAGACTTCTTGGAAATAAGAGATGTAGATGGAAAAGTAGCTTCAGGTGTCTCAGGCCAATGAGCCAAGCTATAAGCTTTGTTGTGCAGGTGAAGAGTTCTGAAGTCTGAAGCAGGTTGATGAGCAAGATCTTTGTAGGCTGCTAGACTGCAGGTTGGCCACCTCTGGAGTGTTGAGTTCCAGGGACACCCACACTATTGTAATGTATATCAATGATTGCATAACTGGAGGGGGGCAGTCTTTTGTGATGCTTCCTTAGCTATGGTTAAAAATGGAAGGAGTCTAGAGGGACCTGTTAATTCCATGTTTTGCCCACCATGATGTAAACTAAATTGCTATTTGTGATGTAGCTTAAGAATTGTGTGGGGAAGTTGCATGGAGCATTGGTATATCTGTTCAAAGTACAATTTCAGGGGGAGTCTTGGGTGCACCTTCTTTTGAACTGCTTCTCTTATTAGTGTTCTTTAGAATGGCTAAATCTTTAAAGTTAATGGAGGATTTTTTTGTTGAACGTCACAATGGAGGATTCCCAACTTAATAATAAAAAGGACATTGCACTATTGTCTTTTAGGTCTTGTCTGCCCTTTATGACCAACTACAGTTTCCATTGCAACATTTGCCACCACAGTGGGAATACATACTTCTTAAGAAAACAAGCAAGTAAGCAAGGGGAAAATACTGGGGAAGTGTATGTTGTTCTCCTATCTTTTCTATACCTGCGAGCTTCAAGAGGTGAAATTATCTGAGATACGGTTTGGGTCCAGTGCCTATCAGTAAGGTGTGGAGAACCTTAGCTCCTGGTACTAGATCTGGTACTCCTGGCTCCCCTAAATGGCCATGCTACGTTTCTGATTTATGTACAGGTCTTCCCCAACTCTGAAAACTTGCAAAGTTTCTTCTAAGGCTTAATTACTGGCAGTAAGAGCTAAAATATGCCAGTACGCATGGCCCGACTTTTGCCCTTCTCCCATTGCTGTCAACCCTTCCATCCAGTGGAATGTGGCTCCCCAGAGCTGCTTTGAAATTGGTTTCAGCCCTTGGGCTGAAAGAGATTCCCTTACCTGAAGCATATAAAGAAATACGTTCTATACTGTGGAGTGCAGTTGAAGATGCTGGTTTCATTTCAGTGTTGATTTTGTTTTCTGAAAGATCTGAAGGAAATGTGTCTTAGTGCTCTGGCGAACTTAACTTGGCAATCAAGGTCCCAAGATGAACACCCCAAAACAATGTTTTCCAAAGACAAGGTATGGCTCTGCTATCATATAATCGCTCTGGCTTAGGATATTTGGAATGATTGGAATTCACGGTTGGTAATAGACATTAACTATCTGGGATGGAGGTGACACTAGGCCTCAACTCAATCAGTTCCCATGTGCTTTCTTGGCCAGAAGGTTAAACTTGTTCCAAGCACATTCATGGTAAGGGAGGATAGCTGACAAAAACTCTGCTTGATGCACGGTCTCTAGAACTGTATCTGACAGCTGAGTATGGTGAAGTGTGGCAAATTGGGATGCTTGAGGTAATTCAAATGTTTTATTTTCCTTTAAATTAGAGGTGCAGGTCTTCATTCAGCCAGTATGTATTAGCGTGAGAGAGAGATGATAAGCTCTTAGAATTTGGAAAGTGAACAAGAGGTGGCTGGGGA